TCCAAATGTGTTTGTTTAAAACAGCTCCCTGGCCACAATAGCCATTTAAATTGTGCCTGCTGCAGTTGAAAACAGTGTATCTGGTTTAGCACTGTCAGCTATATTCTGGAGCAAACAGATCAGCACCATGCAGTCTGGTTGGGGGGGAAGTATGAGCTGCCTCCGGATCCTGTTTGGATGAAAGGACCCACAAATGCATCCATTTGCTCAGCCAGTGCTTTCACGGTTCTTAAAGATTAAGCTAGGCCTTAGCCTGCAAGTCAGCCTGAAACTTGAATTTTGCACCTGTAACTTCTAAATACTCCATCTTATATGCACGGTTCGTGGAACAAATGAATAGATTGTAGCTTGTATTTCTGAGAGTGCAAGCTCTCTCTCTCTCCTCTGTTTGCCAGAAGCTGGGAATGAGCAGAAGGGGAGGGATCACTTGATGATCGCGTCTTCTGTTCGTTCCCTCTGGGGCATCTGGTATTGGCCACTGTTGGGAGAAAGGCTACCGGGCTAGATAGACCTTTGGTCTGTCCCAGTATGGCCATTCTTATGTCCATGGCCTGCACACCACACATGTGAGAAGCAAAAAATAATAATAAAAAAAAACCCTCACTGATGTAGCCCCCACTGAGATGGAGAAAGACTCTCCCCTCAGTCCCCTGACATACCAGAGCTTGGGGGAGGGAGGGCCAGGATAGTAGATTTTGTGTGTTCCAGGCCCATGGAGCACCAGCACAGACTCCCCAAATGCTGCCCCCTGAGCATGGGGGCCGGATCCAGGCAAGCTGGGGGCTGTATCCAGCCTCCAGGCCTGAGGTTCCCCACCTCTTCTGTATAGAGTCTTTGGGGAATTGGATAAGGCTTCTTGACTGTTTTCTGCAAGATCTACAAGGCTGTGTGGTTGCAACTGGTTCTCTTGGGCACTTGCTTCCTGCATTTAGACTAGTCATAAGTCCAGGAGGTGAGGGAAGTTACGGGGTGTCAGAGTAGGAACTATAAAGTTATTCAAGTGTGGGGCTGACAGCCAATACACAGAGTACAGTAGTTACTACACTTCATAGTGACATCAGGCAGATGAAGTCACTTGTGCAGGAGGTTGAAAAGACCCTCTCCAAGCAAGCCTGTGGGCTCTGCACAAATCACTAGTGATTCCCAGGTATGAAAGGGCTGGGAAGACCTTGCAGGAGCTGAGCAGATTCCTCAGTGTGAGAGCGGGCACCCGGTGATGGCGGCGTGTGCCCCGTTCCAGGACTCACAACCAGTGTCCCCTGTCAGCCTTGCGTTTGTGCAGGGGCCCAAGAGAGATCCCACTGCTGCTCAGCTGATTCTCAGGAGCCCCACAGCTGGGTGAGTGTTTATCATGGTGGTGCACATTTCCACAAGCCGTAGTGCACACAACAAAATTTATTCTGCACATGGGTGGAAAAGATTAGAGGAGGGACATTGCTCGCAGCCCCAGGCAGAAGTATGCATTGAATGAAGGGGGAACTGCTCAGGCGGGTGGGGGGAGGGGCAGAAAGAGCAAAAGGCTGAGAACCTCTGCCCTCCAGCACTCTCCTCCTGCCCCTGAGCTGCTGCTAAGGGAGCCCCACTCTACCAAGGCTAAGGCCGCCTAAAGCCAGCTCCTGATTTCTGCATCCCAAAGCCAGGGCCCCTTAGGGGTAGCAAGCAGGACACTGAGCCGGGGCCAGAGGGGGCTGCTGAGCTTTGCTGAGGCTTCCGCTCAGGGTGGGGCCCTGGCTTCAGGCTTTCTGCCCTGGGCCCAGCCAGGGCGATGCGGGCCCTGCTTGCCCCCCCCCCCAACCTGCTTCCAGCCTCCCAGGGCCCCCTGGGGGAGAGCAGCTGTTGGAGGGGGCCCAGGTTTGAAGGCCCGGGGCGGCTCAGCTCCCAGCCTGGGATAGCAAAGGGGGGAAATG